CAAGACATTCCTTTTTTATTTTTTTCTTCTTTCTATTTTCTTCTCTATATATTTCTTTTAAAAACATCTTTATAACGTACCAGAGATATTTCATCTATCGTGTTCCGAGTCAATGTAATCTCGCTTACAGCCAGATCGCGAGATTTCGATTAGAATCAATGTTTCTTAATCTTTCATTCTCGTTATTCGAGCTTATCGATTCGTCCCTCGAAAGTAGAATCGTACGATCGAAGAATTATTAATATCGATTGAGAGAAATGAAACCGTCTCCGGTATAATAATCATTGATTACAATCAAGTAAATGGCGGTTATTTAAAATACGTAATTAATAAACGCAAAATTACTATGCTCCATTCGAACTTTCATAATTATTAATCGAGATCAAGATATTACGAGCGATTGCAAAAATTACTTAAACGATCTCTTCTTATTCTCCTCCATCGATTCTTTGGTAGAAAGTAAGGTAGAAAAAGTTTGGAGTCAATGAAGAGACGAACGATATATCAAACTCGTTCTTCCCGAACGTGGTTAATCGGTACCAAATTCGGTGATGGTGTACGTGGTCGGTTCGCACGAGAAAAAGGGTAAAGTCATCGAATTCGCGTGAAGGTAAGAAAAAAAAAAAGTGGATGACGGCAGGTAGAATAGGATAATCTTTGAGAAGTTTTAGAAAAGTGAGATACAAACGTCATGAATTCACTGCACGTCGTCGGACATCTGAATGACGAGATCGAACGAGAATCTTCACGGGCGGTCGTTCCGTTTCTCTACTTTGAATCCATTTAAATTCTATTTAGCTAGGAGCAAGCGAATGTAAGTCCTACGGCAAAGATGGACCAGCGAATCAGATGGTTCGAAATAAAAGAGGAAAGAGTAAAGAAGAGGATGTCGAATAGCAGGAAGGAAGAACGCTATGGATAAAGCCAATATTCCAAGTTTCACTACGTGTATCGTGGGTGGTCGCCAAGGGGAATGTTATCCCCAGGGAAGAAGCATCGGGATTCCCCCCGTCTTTCGGAAGAATTCAGCGTGCGACCGCAAAAGATGGGACAGTGAGATACGATGGAAGCTGGACCGATTCCGATCGCAAGTAGCCTTTAGCAATTCGACCGGTCTTTTCTCTGGATACTACCAGAAAGACACTCTTGATTTCGTTTCATTTCTCTTTCTTGCTTGCGTGCAGTTTATTGACGATCCTGACTCTTGTTTCGTGAAGCTCTTTACTCCATAATTAGTTTCCGTAAACCCATAATCGTGCTACTAGTCATTCACTTGATAAGTCCATAATTTTGCTATACATGGAGTTTGAATTTTCCTTTGAGATTGTTTCATTCCTATACATTTTTAAGAAATTACCAATTAATCTTATTCGTACAGGAATGAGTACATTTATATCTATATTGTCATAATGCTCTCGTATATGTTTGATGAATATTCGATATACACGTATCTTTATTATTCAATGTAGATATATGCCTGTTCCTCTTTTCCTAATAGTTAATAAAAAGTATAGAAACATAATAACGTTGGGATAATCTTTAAACGGTTAATTATTTCCAAGGATTACGAACGAAGAAACCACAGGGGACATCCTTTATGCCCGAAGTCTTGTCAAGCTTTTAAAGCCGCTTCGCTTTTTACCAACATACTTACATCTCTTTCTAACGGAACAACGTGTCCACGTCGAGGTGGACTCCGGTCTACTCAAAGAACTTGCCACTAATTATTCGACCGGATGCAAAAGAGAATGCTTCCAACGAGTGACGAATTGACTCGTCTTGGTCGTTTACAAAGTTACTTTGCCAGGAACATTTTCCGAATTTGAAATAATGTTAATTAATTAATCGCTCTCTTCTTTTTTGTTTTTTTTTTCGAGTACTCAAACATGAAGATTTTGTTTATGATCCATATTTTGGCAATTTGAGTTAATCCTATATAACTGTAATTGTATCTCGTTCAATGCATTCGAGATAAAAATAAATGGACAAGTTACCTGTTAAATGCGAAACGCCATAAATCAATAGGCAGTCACGTTCGGTGAAATTGGCTACATTGCCCATAACCGAAGGACGATTAATAACAGCGTCGATGAAAGCAAAAGACATCGATGCATATGAATCGTACTTCTATATCTTAAAATGAAAGTCGCATTCGAAAGAGTATCGGGTTATACTGATAATGACGTACATTTTCGGGAATAACTTTTATATCGTTGGTAATAAATTTGTCAATGTTTTCTCTTTGATCCGATCGACTTCGATTATTATCGTTACAGTTTTTTTCAATATTACAATTCAAAAACATAAAAATATCATTACCATATGATAGATATTCTTTCATAATAAGATTCATCTTTAATTTATTTGTTAATTTTCTTAATGAATGTCAAAATACGATATTAAGCAATGATGATCGTTTCTAACTTCCATGAGGTTAATAGTAGTGAAAGAAGATGTTTAATACATTAAAGAGTAGCATTGATTATGACAGCAACGATGAAAATCTTCGCTTGGTAATTAACGAACCTCGTAAAAATAAAAAGAAGAAGGTTTGGAGCACAGAGGAAGAGTTTATATAGCAATTAACACCGAGTGTCCGTCCTCCAGATCGCAAAGCAGGTTTTAATATCCTTATTTATTGTCTGTTTTTTCACAAAATTATCAACCTTCCGTGATAGAAAAAGAGATTTAATGTAAAGGTATTAGTAGAATGTCAGAAAACATCAAATCACATTAGAATTTGTTTCTTAAAATTAAGAAATTAAAAAAAATTTGCAATTTCGTTTCTTATCGTATTGCGGTATCATTTGATCGTTCGTTTGAAATTAGATTTCTTTGAAAACTGATTCGTGACATGACCAACGAAAAAAAAAAAAATAATAATGTAATATCCGAAATTTTTCTTAAGGCGATTGGAAGAAATAATTCAACACCTATATAACGACCTACGAATTTAAATCCGATTTGACCGACGTTGTCTCAAGAAGAGAGCAACGGAGCATACAACGAGATATACACCGAGGGTCGTTACTTGTCTTTGCCAAAAGCTTTTACCGGTTAGACGGATCTGCATTCATATACTTAATGCACCCTCGAAGAGCTCGCCCTGTTAACTCGTTGCACCGGTAAGACAGGTCCACGATTCGATCGTTCATTGGTTCTCTCTTTTAATGCGTCATTCTCGTTCCTCGAATTTCTCTCTGTTTTACGATATCGTAAAGTTTTTATTCGGAATATTATTATGAAAATTTTTTTAATATATGTATTTTTAATATAATATAACAGATACACGCATACAGACAATTTTATTCACTGGACAAATTTCTTGAGATAATAAGATGTTTTTCAGGTGAACGTGCAGAAATAATTTTCTTGTGAAAATTTTCTCGATCTGATTGATTACAATGCAGAATATCATATGATTTGTACCGAAAAAGATGAAAGGAAAGGATTCCAGGTAAAAATGGTCGTTCTAATTAGATAGTTTCCAAACTTTCGACGAAGAGTTCGTATCTGTGAACTTGAAAAGCACCCTTATACGCCCCTGAGACATCATTCCACCGCGAGAGAATCGTGTAACGATATGGTGCTGTAGGGCGGAGCATCCCACCATTATCCCTGTCAATGTCCTTGTGGTTTTTGAGTAAATAACCAGCTGAAATCACAGTAATCTCTCTGTCGAACGTCGCTTCGGTTGTGGCTCCTTCATTTCGGAAACCGCAAGCAAAGTGTCTCGGATAAAATCATGGCATGTTAACTTTGCTACTTTAAGTTGCGTCAATAATCGTTCAAAAATAACAATATACTAATAGCTAGCATTGCCCGAGGAGAAAATTTAAACTAGACTAGCAACTCGTGATCTCTTCAGGATTATATATTATTTCAATTGACTATTTTCTCTCTCTCTCTCTCTCTCTCTCACTCTCTTTCTCTCATGATTTTCTTTAAATTACTATACGTTTTAACAAAGACCATTCCTATTATTTGGAGTTTACTTTTCCATTTATTTCTTAATAATTTTCTATTCCATATATTTTAAAATCATAAAAGATTTATTAGTAAATCAATTTTCCTTTCATTTTTCCTTAAAACTATTTGAGTACTTAATCATTCGAAATTTTCCTGATCGTTAGAATTTATAAAAGCCAAAAATTGGGATAGCTAAATATTCGTTAGAAAATATCTTCAGAAAAAATCATAAATATTCGTTAAGATATTCGTACAATTTACTTGACGATAAAATACGATAAAATACGAATTTTTTTTTTCTTTTTATTTATTATATTTCATAGGATATATATTTCTATCTAGTGAATCGTATTACCACCATTCGAAATTTTTAGTAGAAAACAATGTCGGAGAAAGTAATCACTTTTGAATGCAACGAGTTACAACGTACTATTTTAGGTACCTGACACCTTTCAGTTATATGTATAATATGATATTTCATGTTATATTCAAGTTATATACTATGCAAACATTCTTGGTTTAAAGCATACTATGTCATTTGCTTATACTTTGCGATATACTTCACTTAAAGAACATTAGTATTGAAATATTTATTATTTATAGATTCTTGATGATATATGAAATCATTAATAAAATTTGTAAATAATAATATTTCAATTCTAAATTTTACTTTTTTATTTGTTAGGTTTGTATGTAGATAGTCAATTATCAATACTATTATACTATTATACTGATAAAGGAAGGAAAGGTGGATAAGGAAAAAAGATAAAAATAAAAATATAAATTCTGCATAACATCGTGTAATATATTTAACGAATTATCTGTCGATAATTATTTACAAAGCATTAATCTTGCGAAAATTTGTCGTACGATTTGTTTTTATAAAATTTGAAAATAAATTCAATTCGGTCAGATTTATTTTGTTGTTTCTTAAAAATTTGCTTTTGATACTGATACTTTTGATGACGTTAATATTTTGTAAAACTTCGTTTCTTTTTTAAATGAAAAGAAAATTATTAAACAATCGCACAAGTGTTTATAAATAATTATAAGGCGTTTTAAGGCACTCTGGAATGCCGTATCCATTCGAGAATACTCATTGATCGGCCGACAGCTCAATGTCGGTGATAGTTCTTATTGATTCGATTCAATAGGTTCACTCTTCAATAATCTTAAACGATGGGATTTAAGAGCGCTACACGATAACAATGGCAACATTAAAATGTCTGAAAATAATTTTTCAACGTTCTCCAATATACATCTCAATAATATTGATCTTTGCTTCTCATTCATTCACACACACACTTTCTCATGTATACTCTCATCTAGAATAACATAAAATATTGTCTCGTCATTTTATATATAATTATACAATCTTTTAAAGATTATCTTGTGCTAATTATGTAAATAATTAAAAATGAAATAGTTCCACGCTGATTTAAGCGAAACACGCGCGCGAGACTTTAAGTAAACTAATATCAGATATATACAATTATAAAGTAGAGAGGTATGACTAGATCACAGTTATTGAAACAGCCGCCGTTTGTCATCTTCTGTATTGTACATTGCGATTCTACTGCCTGATAAAATCTTCCGAATGATTATGCATTCCTGTTTTTTTCTGTAACAAAAAGAATAAAAATTTCATTAGTATCGAATGATCTTAAATGAAATTATAGAAATTTTTTAAAATCATTTTTGTTGTTGTTCGATTTATTGTAAAATAATACGATAATGTTACAACGAAGAAAAAAAAATCAGCTGAGTTCGTTTTTATCGAAATATATTATTTCGATGTCTACCTTAAGAAAATTGCGGAAAGGTACAAAACAGAATTTTGAAGGTAGAAGGTTTATTGAAGAAAAAAGATGCCACAGGTATACGGATAGAAGAAGTAAGGGGATGATTTCAGGTAAGAGCAGTTTTACTGAAAGAAGGGTCTCGGGAAGAAGAGAAAGAATCGAAGAGAGAGAGGAAAAGAGTATGATAGGGAGAAAGAAGCCCAGAGAAAAGAGAGAGGGAACGAGGAAAATAGGGAGACATAGAGATAGAGAGGAAGTGAGCGTGAGGGAGAAGAGGAGGAAAGAAATGGAAAAGAATGGCGTACCGGTCTAAAAACCGACAAAAGGGGAGGGCTGGTATATCCAGGAAGATGCATTCAAGTTAAACGCAGCGCGCGAGACAAAATCGTCCCTAGATAAAGAGAGGTGGTACGAGAAAAAGAAAATCTGAAATGGGGGATCCGAAAGGCTAGAAGAAGCGACGACAGAGCAGAGAGAGGATTCGAATAGAGAACGCTTAAAGAATGTTATGCGATTCGAGGGGATTTAAAGGAAAAGTTACGTCCATCAAGATTAGAGTCGAATTCGAGTATGAAAAAAAGTCTTATATATATATATATACATATATATATATATTTTTTTTTCGAAACAAATACGTTACGCAGCAATAGAAATTATTGGATGAAAACTGTATCCTTTGAAAATAAAAGTTTTGTAAGGAGAATTTGATAGTAAAATAATAAAATTTTTAACTAAAATTTATCATTACGTAGCGTTTTTTCTTTTTTATTTTTTTATCCAGAACTCAATTCAAAACACGTAGGGATAATTAATTTTTCTACGTGACTGATCAATTTGAACGCTCGTAATCGTTGAGATAACTTTGACTTCTTCGGTGGGAAAAAAGAGAGTGAGAAAAAGAAAAATAGAAAAAGAAAAAAGTAGGAAGATTGAAAGCGTTGAAGGAGGTAGCATGAGGAGGTTGATGTAGAACGAATCGTGCTCGGGAACGGTAGCGCGTGGACAAAAGGTGAGGAAGGAGGGAAAACGTACGGCAGAATAAGGACGCGACTCTGGTGTGCACGAACGCACACACACACACACACATATATATATATATATATATATATATATATATATATTTATACGATAGCGCGCTAAACTCATACGCACGGTAACACATACAGAGAAAGAAGTAGTAACACAAAAGCGTCTCTCCTCTACTGTATACGCGGTGCTCCTTTGAATGGAGTCTGTGATTTGAATGGTCCAAGTTTCAGCGAGGGGTCGCGGGCGACCATTGTGAGAGGGCAAGGTCACAAATCTACTCGGAAATTTCTTTGAGATTCTTCTTTAAGCGCGAATATTCTCCCCTGACGAAGAAAATTTATGGTCGCAACGTAAAAACGAGCGAGGGAGGGAGTTATCTTAAAAATGAGGGAGAGAGGTTTGAGAGAACCGATGGTCTTTCGTAACGGTAGAACCATTATGATCGATGAAGACCCGAAGATGATCTGTTATATACATATCTATTAATTATCTATGTATGTTTGATAAAATGGTCTGATGTTAAATTGTATCATATGATAAATCGATATTTTGATATAAACTTTTCGATATATTGAAAAAAAAAATAGAGAGAAAATTTAATATCGAGTAGTATTAAACTTGACTAGGAATTCGTAATAGATAGTATGTAAAATCTTATGTTAGTATGTCGAGCAATGAAAGAAGATATAGAGTAATAAAGAATAATCGCGTCACGACACCAACCTCGAGGACTATACGGAAGTATCATCGGGAAATCGTATGTTGTCTCATTAACTCTGCTGCCAACAGAAGATGACATCAAGAAGATCTTCGTCCTCGGGCCTCATCGGCTCGTTGTAATCGTAATCGTCGGGGTGAGAAGCATAAAGATTACCCGAGGACGTTCCATAACCTTGACTACCGGCTGATGATGTTTCCGAGACGAAACTCGGCGTGGGTGAACTCGAAGCTTCTGAACAGGGTGCTGGTACAAAAGTTGGGCTGGGATTTTGTCTAATATGTTGATGTCTGTGAAGATCTGAGGTATGATGAGGGCTAGTGTGATGTCGCACGTCGTTACCACATAGTCTGAGTTCGGATGCACGATGATTGGAGTCAGTACCGAGTCCACCGGTAGGACTACACGCGGCAGGTGACGTTGATGAGGTGGTTGATGACGCGGATACAGTCGAAGAAGAAATGTCCGAACCGTTGTCATGTTCCTCTAAGAGACGTTGTAGACTTCTGATGTATTCTACTGCCATCCTAAGTGTCTCAACTTTGGATAACTTCTTGCTACCCGCTCTAGAACCACCATGAGTCCCAGTCGTGTTTCCACCCAATGCTTGAGCAACACTCTGAGGTATATGCTGTCTTAAAGTAGCAAATCCATTATTCACCTGTTTTACGCGATTCCTTTCGCGCGCATTTCGTCTCGCCACCGAAGCCGGCTGATGAGGAACAGCTCCATAAGGTCCTGTTGTTTGTCCGTACATTTTTGACCGTTTACAAGCGTGCTGCTGTAAGCCCTTTATGTCGTTATTTGGCATACTGCTAGTTGAGACAATTACATTGCCACGATGGTTTTGCACAGAGCCTGCGGTAGATACATGAAGACCATGGTGATGATGATGCTGCTGCTGCACGCTCAGCATGATGGGCAGTACGTTCGGGTTCTCTTGCTTCAGTCCCACTAAGGTCATATCACTGATCCGATACCCCCACCGCTAGAGTAGGAGTTCTCGCGCGTGCCCGCCGACCTTGAAGAACGAGCTCTTCTTTACGTGTATCCAAGTACTGCCGTAAGAGAGCCACGACTACCTACAGTCTAACCCTCTTCTTATCTATCTGCCTCTCTCTTTTTCTATTTCTTGTTTTCCTCTGCTCGTCTATTTTCTTTCTCTCTTTCTCCCTTTCTCTCTCTCTCTCTCTCTACCTCTCTCTCTCTCTCTCTCTTTCTCTCTTTCTAGCTCTCTCTTTTTCTCTCCCTTTTTCTCTCTCTCTTTCTCTCTCTCTCTTTCTCTATCTCTATCGTTATCTTTGTTTACTTAGTATCCTTACACCTTATCAAAATTCAACTGACAAGAGTATATCGATATACGAGCTATAAACAGACTCTGTTCACGTTAGAAATGTTAACGTGGAATAAGAAACCACACCCTCGATGCTCACAGTACGGTCCTGGCTCCCGAAATGCTTTGCCAGGGAGGGTTCGGGGTCTTATATAGGCAGGACGGGCACGCGCCGCATCCCCTCCACCAACTCCCATACTCGATCTCGGGCCCTAAACCCCTCGTCTTCCCCCTACCTCACCCTACTAGCCCGCACTGCCTCATACCCCATGTATCCCCCACCACACTGGCCCCAAAGGCCCTACGAGACGGCCGAGATTCTCATCTCTTCTCGAATTATCGGTACGATCGTGGACACTCTCCTCTATAATCGTGGGTTTACCACCAATTTTACTATCTCTTTAGTCGACATTCAAGCTGTGATAAGGCCTTTACCTTTTTTGCTATTTATCGTTAGGAAAGTTTGATCAATGTTTTTTATTTCTTATGTTATTAAGTTCCATATATTTATTAATTTATTTATGCTAATAATAGAAGTGAATTGGATTTGAATAATACCAATTATGAATATTTTGCAATAATAGTAAAAGCTTGTATTATTAATATAATTAAGTGTATTAATAGCGATTTTTGATAATAAAAAAAATTGTAGGGTAACATCAATTATCCAATTCTATCCATTTCATTCATAAATTTAAAGATTCATGTAATGCCAATGAATTAGTCCAGTCATCAAATAAACATTTTTGTTTTCCAATTGCTTCATCAAGAGTAAAAGATGTCAATTGCATACATATATCATTGTCATTCGATTAAAAAGGCCCAATAATTGAAATAAAATAACCTTTTACCCCGAACAGAGCTGCTAATGCAGAGTGCGCAAAATCGTGTGAGAAACACTGACGACGTACGTACGAAGGGGCCAACATCCCCACTGGCGGCTGGTCTGTGTCTCGAGGATCGAAATTTGAACAGTTACCGGGAGAAAGAAAAGCTGGTCCATGGGTCAAGAGGAAAGAGAAAGAGAGAGAGAGAGAGAGAGAGAGAGAGAGAGAGAGAAATGGTTCGAACAAGATAGAAAGAAAGAGAAAGAGTGAAAGAAGGAGAGATCGAGACGCGTTTGTAGAGAAGCAGAAGAAGAGGATGAAGAAGAAAAAGATGGAGAAGGGGTAGACGAAGGAGGAGAGGGTGGAGAGATCCGTGGCGGACGCATCAGAAAGAAGGAGAGAGAAAAGAAGAGAGAGAGAGAGAAAGAGTAAGATGAAGCCGACGGCGGTTGTCGCAGAGGAAGAAAGAAAGAGATAGAAGATTTTATAGGGAGGTGGGGTTGCAAGCTAAGGCCCAGGAGGGTGGAGGGAGTCGAGTGACGCGAGCCGTCCTCCCCTCTCCACAACGTGGCGCACGCCGACCTCCATCCGGCGGCTCGCTTGCCCCACCACTATTTCCGAGGCCTCATCTTCGCGGAGTCGAAGCCTGCGCGTGCGTGCGTACGTGCGTACATTCATTTGTGTGGGAGATCGTATACGAGAGCGTACGCGTGCTCGGCTGGGCCGCGTGCTCCACCAAGAAGGAGCAAGAGAGAAAGAGAGAGAGAGAGAGAGAGAGAGAGAGAGAGAGAGAGAGAGAGAGAAAGAGAGAGGAGTGTTGTGTGCGACCAGTTGGCTTAATATGTGTATGTACGTGAGTATGTGAGAATATGTGAGCGAACAGGAACAGGTATACACTCTATCCTCTATCCTCTATCCTTCTCTCTGTTTCTCCCTGTCGAAAAAGTTCTCTCTGTTTCTCCCTGTCGAAACAGGAAGGGTCAGTGGACGATCTTCGAAGGGCTCGCGTTTCTGTCCTGTGATAAATACGATAGAAGTCTCACTCTGTACGTTGTTGTCGTTGATTTCGGGAGGAATTATTTGATCATTGATACCGTTTCTTTGATTATGTATAAAATCAATAATTTCTAGATAATAGTATTGATGTTATTGTTTAATAGATTATACACTTTTCAATTTAGTTATCTCTCACAGTTTTGCATGTTTATCCAATATATTATACGTATCAGAGGTGTTTAATTATCATACTATCATACATAATCCCAATAACTTTTGTTTTAAAGTTGTTTCTGATCTATTCATAATGCAATCTTGTACAGTTTACGTTAATAAGACATAATCGTCTTAGTCGATAAGCTAGGGTTAGAGAAAAAAAGGATAAGATCATAACGGTTTCAAAAATATTTTAAAGGAACTAAGGGTGATCTTCTACGAAGGAGGTTGTCGCACCAAGGACAGGATCGGTGCGCCACGCTAATAATGGCGGTACCTGCGTCTCTGTGGTTAAGAATTTGTCGCGCAGCGAGAATTCATGCGGCGAAGAATCGCTCGACAGAATCATAAATCTTTTGGAAAGAGAATCGTCGTGGACCTTGCGGGCAACTATATTTGTAAAACGAGAAACACGGATCGTTACGAACTGAGATGGATCTTTTGCATTTGTTGGTACAATCGAATCAGTGATCGGTAGTTGGACTTAACCTTGGACCCTTTCTTTTTTGATAAAATATTACCATGTAGAATAAGTGTGAATACGATTATTTGAAAATCATTCGTCCATGAGGATTCACATACATACATATATCGGAAAAGATACGAAGCAAAGAAGTAATATGTTGGGATTATATAAGAAAAAGGAGCACTCTCTCCTTCGTTTTTATGAGCTTACAAATAAGGACACTCAAACCGGCCTTACGTCGTGCGTCGTACATCGTATTTTCTTCGGATGTAAACAACGCTGTTCGAAGTACACAGGAGTTGAAATAAAAAGTGTCCATTAAATCAATAAAACGCTGCCCGGGGTGTGGAAGACGTATCTGGTTCTTACACTTGCCGCTCCATTCCGATGTCACCTGGAGCGAGTTTTACAGTTTAAATGGATTGACCGTTTACAAGACACCACGGGGCGTCATTCGTAGACAATAATCCAAACCTTTTTTCTTGCCCATAATCACTTGTATTCGTAAACTCAGTCTAGACATCAGGTATTTTTGCGAATACCTATTCGAGTACGACCCCAAAAACTGCCACTTTTTCCAAGAAACGAAGTCAATGACCATCCTGCAAACCAAAGATTGTGACACTATTAAAAATACTAATATTATTTTGTTCATATAATTCGGTATAGAACAATTTAAGCAAAATATTAGATTATTATAGTATTACAGTATTATAACAGAAATTAAGTACTTTATTTTACCCCTATACTGTCCTTAATTATTTTATTTATACTTTTCACGATTTTCACTTTATTAGGAAAGGATTAACGCAGACATTATACATATATAAACATCTTGGAATACTCGATGTAACAGGATGTAATAAAATTAAAAGTTAATCGTTTTCAGATATCATATTCAACGTTTACATCGGACATAGTCACTGATTGTGTGTCGTTGAGAATACAATTAGAATCAATTTGAGCACGGTAAAATCGCAGTAAACGCAACGATACGCATGAAAAGATGACGTGGCACAGCTACGTTAATTTTAATACTCCCCGCACGATGCAAGATAAATAAAAAGCAGAAAAATATGTAAGTAACGTGAAAACGATACAAGAAGATAGAAAGAGAGAGTAGAAATTTTCTTGACCGATCATAATAGCCTTATTACCTTGAACCTTTGACTTAAGAATTTATACTATAATTATATTCCTGAATATCGGTACCCCGACTATGTCTGGCAACGCGCCGTTAATTATCGTGAAATTAACTACCGGTCCGAGTGGCGAGATGAGCGATGCATTGCCGCTGCCGCCATTCTGAACACGTTAAATTTTCTACGTTTTACCCTTTGCACCAGGTTCAACGCAGTGTCGGATTAACAGATGGAAGCTTCCTTGGGCTCCTGAAGGTTATTTTCTTTTCGACCTGTCGGATTTATTTTTATTCTTGTTTCGTATATTTTTCTCCGGATCATCTCAATATTCGTAACAACTTCAAAGTTTGTTATATTAAAATTTTTATTGTCGAAAAAAGATAATAATAAATTTTGAAATAATGTGTTACTATAATCAAGTTGATATTTTTACTTATCATTTCATATGATTAGTATTTACAAATATGCATGATAAGTTTACATTTTTGCCACAAATAATAAAAATCGATTGATATTAATTTGATTAGAAAAATGTAATGAAATTGTTATTGTTTGTGTCATTTTCAATGTGCAGGGTTACGAAGTATACTTAGGCCTGTGCTGATGGTGCATCCGGCCTTTGAAGTATAAAAGCAAGCGGCGCTTTAACGCCCGGGGCGCAAGTAGATTCCTAGGTCATTGTTATGCGTGATCATAGAGATTAAAATCTTTCTAGTCGGCCAGATAAAATATGGTCGATTCCGACGAGTCGTTACAATTTCTTTTTTTTTTTTCGTTTTTCATACCATAACTGAAGACGCTTGCATTTGCCCTATTTGGAATATTCGTCAATTAGTAGTCTTCAAATTTAATGGAACTTTACTACAGATTGTTATACAGAGCAGATGAAAATAACAATTATTTGCAATAATTTGTCTTAAGGAGTGAAAATCATCTATAAAGTTGTAATTCTTTTTAATCATTTCGTGAAGAAATGGATATAGAACATTAAATAGAAAAAATTGCTTGATTTCTTATGATTATCACAATGACAAAATAAACTTTTTCATAAATTGTTATTTCTTTTTCTTAAGAAAAAATTATTTGCATGATTTTTTGTAACATAGAACTTTTTGTACGAATAAATTTTATTATTAATTTATTTATTCTGAATTTAATCATATATATATATATATATAT